AAAAGACAAGATAATTAAATTCATAATAACTTCCAATAATGCTCAGACATGCATTCAAATTGTAAATAAAACAGATAATCATTTTATGAGACACTTAGAGCCTATACTTTAAAAGAAATACCACAAAGAGAACCTGTTGAAACATGAAGGACCTTCCCTGACAAAGACGGCAGCTGATGGCAGCCAATGTTACTCCAAAACCAGTATGTATCATTATGTACCGACTGGCTGGCTTTCACAGATGTCCAACCTACCAAGCCCCCACATACATCACTTTACATTACTTTGGACTGTGTGCTGAAAACAGCAGTACAGTTTCCCACGTCTCTTCAATATATGTTTAATGAGCTCAGATGTTATTTTGATGCAGAAATGAACTGTGTTGACTGAAAATGGTTTTCAGAGTTGTTTCTGACCACAAAAATTATTTTCTCTTCAAAATCTAGACAATTTTTAAAGCACTGCTACCAGATGGTCTAGAAATCACAGCCAGTCAGTGTTTCACAGACTGGAAAACTCTCTCAGTCCCTCTTCAGTTCAGAAATACTCAGCCTCACTGGGTGGTTTTCTTTAATGCCAAACATCAATTATGAAGTAACTTCATCAACTGTCAGATATTGGATTGGTTTGTATTACATCCACTGACCTTTTGGCCTCTTCCTGCAAGAGAGTTGCTCTCTCCCTCACTCTCTGTTCCAGGTTTCTACACCTGATTGACACAGCTGAGCAACATCAAGATCACTTGTGGAGCAGCATAATCCCCCCAGCAGCAAGTGTGTTACTCTCTTTGTCTTTTGGCTACCGAGTCCTGGGAAACATTAGTGCTGTTTTTGATTTCTTTGATTTGTGCTTTGGAAGCCAAATTTACGATTTAGTCATGCTATTTAGAAGTTAGTGGAAGTTTGGTAGGGGTTCTCTGCCATTTCTTTTTTTATGTGAACCTTTGAGTTTTTGTTTGTTGTTTTGGAGACCCTCGAGATTAATTTGCTTCCTTTTCCACTCCTACTTAATTTAATCATGTAAAACTGTAAGAATTTTTAAAAACCGCTAAATAAATTTTGACGCACACTTTATTGTTTGTAGTCTGAGCTTATAAACAGCTTGTGCTATTACCCTTGTATTACACCTCTCATGCCCTATACAGACAAAGTCAGTCTGTAACAGTTTGAATTTATCATTATATCAATTATCCAGTATTGTTCTTTCAGTTTAGGAAAATAGAAATGTTTCTTATATCAAATTTTAAATGAATTTAGATTTGCATTTAATTTCTTTGCAAGTCTTAATAATTATGAAAAACTGACTTTATTTAACTATAACATTTAAATATTACACTACGTCCAACCACAGCAGCTCAGGCTCTGGATACCAGCCTGCAGACTCACACTGTAACACCACCCTGCTGGTGTTTATGTTGATTCCTGATATTGTTGGTAATGAAAGAGAGCCTGAGGATGCCAAAGAGAAGAATGTGTTCTTACAGAGCACAGAGTTTCTGGTCAATTATATCAGCAATAAAAATGTTTTAATCAGTTTGGATGAAGGTTCCCTCCAAGCGTACTGTGCAGAGTTATATGTTCTAACAATAATTTACTTCTGCAAATTGTTTATTTCCAGCTGGAAAATAAAGGTTGAACTGTTGCTAGAAAATGTCACAGTTCAAGAAACTGCCATGGTGCTATTGCCAGTTTCACACAAGGTCATAGTGTACAAAGCTCTATTAGGATGAAGATGGAAAACTAAGATAAATTATTTTCAAAAATATTCAAAACCTGCATAGGATCAACCTTCTTATTTCCTGCCATATAATGCAAAAATCAAAAAATATATGCACCATTGTAGTTGGTAAAGGACAAAGTGACTGGTGTGTGATAAAATAATGGAAAAAACCAGCAAAGACTGGACTGGATAAAGTTGATTACTTAAAACAGCTTTATATTAACTGCAACAGTTTCATGTAACTATACAGCCAAATGCTCCCCACGGCATATAAAGAGACATATTTATAAGGATCACTTTACTATGTGTTAACGTTTTTCCTTTAATTTGTCATCAATTTGTATCTCACAGTGTAATGAAAAATGTCAACTTACCAACAAGAAGTTCAATGATAGATTCTTTGTGCTCTGAGGGAAAAAAGCATCTATATCTGCCATTATCAGAGTGTTGACTCTAGTGAGTT